CCTAGTTCTATCTTCCCTTGAGAAAAAGCGGTTCTCTAATTAATCTACAGGATAAATCGCTAAAACTCACAATGGCCCTTATTACGGGTGTCATTTCACGGTGAAAACGAAGTGAAGTGATTGCCGTGTAAATCAAATGCGAATCACTTCATCGTGAGTGACAAATTGTCACTTCACCGCGAAGTGACATCGTTAATAAAGGCCAATGACTCGCCAACTTTTCCTTTTGTGTGCTTCATAAAACCTCGCAACATTTTCCAACGCTGAACACGAACAGGTGAGAACTAGATTTCAGCAGAAGGTAACAGAATAAAAATATATTAAAAAATATAAGAACATATAGGGTTAACTACCCCATTTCCGGCCTATTAATCACAACCCACACTTAGTCTTTCTTAATCTAGCGCAGTTTAGCACCAAACGAAATGTTATTATTACTGATGGCTTCCAAATTTATTTACCTTTCCGTACGTAGCGTAAGATTTGATAAAAAGAAACCAATCGTTGAGATATTGTCAAAAGTCTAACACTACTTCTTGACGCCAAACTCGGCCTACGGATTCTAAACTCGGTCTAACGCATTGAAACGCCATTGAAACACCAATGAATTCACTTCGGCCTATCGGATAAAGATAAATATTGATTCGGTCGGAGCGCTTCTTTTGTTTTTGGGAATTATGGGTGCAAAACTTCATATCACGCGTTCTCATTGACTTATTAACTAAAGTATCGTACCAAACGCATAATTGACATGTTAACTCTGAAATCATGGATTTATTTGAAGTTCTCTGCTCGATAGGCCCGAAATGGGCGATTTGGCCGAAGTAGTTCTCTACCCTAAATGAAAATAAAGGGAAGATCTCAGCCAGTTTTTATAATTTTGTACACTTACTGTTCTGCTGCACTACTGTTGAACCAAAGGTGTTTCCAAGACTTTTCCGGGTTATTTCCAAACTAGTTCAAAAATTCTTCAGGCAAATCATGAGCACATGAACTTTCAAGTACAAAACATCAAGCGTCTAAAACCAGAAAAACAGGCTAGGACAACTCTCTTGCCGAACGAATCAATTGGCAAATCTATGTTGGAACTTAGCCATACCCACTCGTTCCCAACCTTTGACAATAGCATGCTAGACATTTGATTTCTCATCAAAATACAGCCTCCAATCAGAATCATCGGGATAGCTTGCCAATCACCTAATAACAGCTCTGACGAAACATAACATGTTTGTTTACGTCTCATCCTTTACATCAAAGATGAATTCCGTCAAGTGTACATGCCAAAATCTGACTGTGATAAAATCAGACCAAGCGAAAATCGGGCCCATACTGTATTTTCAAATACAGTATCCCCCGCTAATCCGGCTCTCATTAATCCGACGACTCGATAATCCGACTTCGTACTGTCGGATTATGGGCTCAACCCCGCTGATCCGACCACAAATTTTTCGGATTAGCGGGGGGATACTGTATAAAAATTCTAGTTTTTAAATGTAAATAAATTAGATTACCTCCCTAATTTTACAACGGAAGGGACTTTTTGAGCAAAATTACTATACCTAAGATATCAAACATCTAAAACATCAATCAAAAGCACTAGGACGACTCTGTTGCTCTATCATCGGATGAAATGACGAAATTTTGATTTAAAAAATCAAGAGAATCAATGTCGTGAGTGCTCTGTCATTGACAAATGATACCAGCAACCCTGAATCGAAGTTTCATTTGAGAGTGATAGAACCTGTTTTGTCATTCGTGGTGTGTGAATGCGTGGCCATGAAATTCTAGCAATCCAAATTTCATCTAACATTGGCAACATTTAAATTATTAATTTGATTGTATGATGAAACACCGTTTTGCTTTGCATCTACTTAATTACCACATCCGAGCACCACCACCTTGTCCGACTTACTAGCGAAACATTTAGCTTAAAGTGTGTGCAAATGTCACACCGGGAAGCAACATAAAACCACCGATGGTTCTCAATAACCGTAAACAAAGTGGGAGCGACCCTGCAATCCATCACGTCACACAGCCATGCACGCGTCTTGAAAACTACCCAGAAATGGGTAGCGTCTGCCCAGTTCTGTCAAAATTGAACCTACTCAAAAATGGGTAAACGTGCTTGCGATAAAAATTGGATAACGGTTACTCACAGTGCTGCAAAACCTCGTCAATACACTGTGATATACACAATTCTACTGATCAACACTCATTTGCGCTAACAGTCATCGTCAAGGCAAACCATGTCAATTGTTAGTGACAATACTGTCAGTGAAAATGCTGTAAGTGACAATGCTGCAAGTAACAATGCTGTAAGTAATAATGCTGTAAGTAACAATGCTGTCAGTGACAATGCTGTCACTGACGGACATGTTACGTAGATTTGTTTTATTAACTAAATTTGTAACGAAATTTAATGAGCTGAGCAAAACAACTACATGGAACCGTTAAAATGAACTGCTTGGTTAGCAATAATTTAACACAGAATGAATCTTTGTCATTGACGAAAAAATGAATGAGATTTTGATGAAGGTTTTTTTTTGAGGATCAAGTCTGTCAGTGACTATGTGAAAAACAATTTTGTCAATATTGCGCGAAAGTCTGTCAGTGACAATGGCAAATCTCAGCAGTGGTTACTCAGATGTTGACATTTGATAACTGGGTAAAATGTACCCATTTTAATAGAAATTAGCTTATATGACCGCTGCAGTAGCTCTATCAAATATAACCTCACCCGACTAGCACCTCTAACTTGTTGATGAGGTAATTATTCGGAATATGAATTACTATGGAATGGGACATTGCAATCCCCAAAAAAGGATATCAACACAAATGCTAGTCATTTATTGAGATTTGATTTCAAATGAGTTCTATAAATTGGGAACAATCGACGGTAATCGAATGTGCAGGAAGGCAGCTTCCACACCAACGCCGGGACCAACGGCGTTACTTCCCTTCCGAAGGAAGACGTGACCAGAGATTTTTATGCTTCAGAAAAATCCCACCGACCTCGGCTGGGATTGAACCCAGACCCATTGGGGATGAGAAAGCAGTCACGCTTACTACACCACAGGCGCCGGCCTAAATTCAGAGACTAACAGTATGCTTACTAACTACAGCTGCTGGTACCATTCGTCATCCTAACAGTTCCGTAGCTGTAAAGTGTTTAGCATCAGAATTGTATTTGTTGAGCATGAAAACTGTCACTGGCAGCGCAAAAATCTCCCTTCCATTCTGGGTAGATTCTACTCATCAGAACAAAACTAGTTTACCCAGATGTTGACAACTCCTTACTGGATACCAAGAATGGGTGCCATCTACCCAGCCACTGGGTAGATTCGGAAGAGCGTGCACATCGATCGGTTCGTCGCTTGCTGCGCTCAAGTCCCCTTCTGTCACCACCGTCATATGCACTCTGGTGGAGAGGCGCTCGCGCGTGATGAGTTACTTAACATTTGAATGTAACAATTTTCTAAGACGCTCTTCGGTTGCCGACGACAGGTTCTTGTTCCACAAAGGCGCGTGGGACTTTTTGCTGCTGCTGCTGTTGTTGTTGTTTTTGCTGTTACACCCGATGGGGGACGCTGAATGGATTTTGACACACAGTCCTACAGCACGAGACTTTCCCATCCAGCAGCAGCAAGCGTTGCGGCGGCGGCGGCGGCTTCAGAAAACCGAGCGAGTGGAAATTCAAGGGTGCAAACTCCGCAAATGCAATAATCGTTCGTTATGGATCGGTGATGGGATTAAGTGATAAATAATAAGCACTTCAAGGTGCTGCGGTCTTGGACCCGTGAGAGCGGCTAGAATGCTGCTTGGTGACGGTGATCGAAATTTTTAAATGGGCCTGCTTCGATCCGGGATCGAAATTCGGGATCGCATGGACAACTGAAACCAGAAAACTGAGAAACGTTGTTCCAATCGAGCAGAACAGTATATTTTGACAGTTCGATTGGAACAGACTTAAATGAAGACTTTTCTGTTCGAGAAGTGCCCCTGTTTTGATACCGTTTTTCCACCAACCAACTATTTGTTTTCGAAACAATTCGCTTCAATGGGCATATTTCAACAAATTTCGTTGTTGTTGCTGCCGCTGTTGATTGGCACTTGGTGGCAGTGTAGTAGGTGCGCTCTCGACAGAAGAGTGCTATTCCTTTCATTGGGTTAATTTATTTACATTAGCTGCCAATTGCTTTTTGAGCTTGGTAATTTTCGTAGGCTGCACGAACGTTGCAATTAGCGTGCATTAGTGCAATGGCACCGGCGAATGAGAGAGTCCACAAACAAAATCATAATTTGGAGTAGACGCGCCAATGATCGATGACACAGCCGCTGCCAATCTAGTACTGCCGTCTCTGTAGTGTCATGTCAAACACGCGGAAAGCGCAGTCGGCGGTAATTGCCGCGGTTATTAGCTCCACGCCTACTTCGCCAAACAAAAGAGAAGCTCCTTTCGCATTCCGATCGCTGCTGCAGCGTGCCACACCAGCCGGTGCGGCCAAAGGATTGTGTCATCTTCGTTTGCAAAAATATGTAATCTACAATCGAACGAGCCGATCATCGCCGGGTGCCGCGGCAAAAATGACAAGTGCGCACATACCAGCAGATGGCGGCCGGGTGTGGTGCATTGCTGGATTTTGCGATGGTTTATTTTTAAACATTCTTACCGCGTGTGTTTGTCTAAACAGTAGTGGTAGGTGTAATCGTATTTTGCAATCTTGACTTTCGATAAAGGTGCTTGTTACGGCAGTACTAGAGTGCCGCCCACTTGACAGTGATGCTGGATGTCAAGTGGGACCCCGGAGGCATGAAACCGAGCCCCATGACATGTTAATCGACTCGCAAGTGTCCGTCAAGAGTCTCGTGTATCTGGTCTCTTATGATTGTTGACATTGAGATCACACAGCACTCGACTCGCTGCTCAATTCTATTAGTTCTAGGATCTGAAGAGGTTATGTGTACTAAACGAGATTTCTTTTCTTCCCACCGAACCACAGGTACTGACAGATTTAGTGCAGGGAGAATTCATGCAGCTAGGCTCCAAGGAAACCGAAAACGAACGATTCGCTCACTACTTCACCAAGACGTACAGGAAAACGGCGTCCCTGATAGCGAATAGTTTAAAAGCGGTTGGTATTTTTTTTGTGTTGACCTTGAACTTCGAATGTTTGCTAATTTTCTTCTTCTTGGGTGTTTTAGGTGGCAGTCCTGTCCGGTGCGGACGAACAGATGGTCGAGCTGAGCTTCCAGTACGGTCGGAATCTGGGTCTGGCCTTCCAGTTCGTGGACGATCTGCTCGATTTCGTGTCCAGCTCAGAGGCCATGGGTAAACCGGCGGCAGCCGATCTGAAGCTGGGACTGGCCACCGCGCCGGTGCTGTTTGCGTGCGAAAAAGTAAGTGCATATGCAGGGTGTCTACCACCGCGAAAAAGCTGGAAATACCTAAAAAGAGTTTCAAAGATTTTAAAGTACAACCAATTTTATCTTCCTTGTTATTCACTTTTACTCTTTGAACATTATGATTTTGGAGTGGATTTATCTTCGGTAACAACATAAATTCTGAAACTTCAATTGTTTTTTTTTTGTTGCAAAATTGGACAAATCTAGATAGAGCTGGAATTAGGGAGTAACAGCTTTTGTAAACAATGACTTCTCTCGACGATTTCTAGGAATTCAAGGTACGCCCATGCAAACCAACGTAACCATTAGATAGAGGAAGCCTTCCCCTATCCGATGGTGATCTTGATTTGTGTGGGCGAGCCTTGGTTTTCTAGAATTCTTCGAAAGAAGTTATTGGTTACAAAAGCTGTTACGCCCTAATTCCAGCTCTATCTAGAAATGGTCGAAATGGACAAAAGGTCGAATGATGCGAAGAGGAGCAGAAAGTCAAATAGACTAATTGATAAATGGTGACAAAAGGTCGAATTAACAAAAGGTCGAATGGACAAAAGGTCAAATAATTAGAAGGGTGGACCAAAATTCGAATGGTCCAAAGAGGGACAGTCGAAGGGTACAAAGAGGGAAAGCAATATAATAATACACACAGATATCTTAAGAAAATAGAAGTGTTCTAGTTACACTGACAGTGAAAGCTAGGATTGCATTAATAATATTTTTCCTTCTTTTCATCACTGATCGGTCTTTCATATAACCAAGAGATGTATCGATTTTGATGATTGTTATGTAATATTTAACGTAACGATGTCTCAAGTCTGTCAAGTGTTCTTTCCACTTCCCAACTAAAAGTACTGCCATTCGACCTTTTGTTCCTCTTTGAATCGTTTGACTTTTTGTCCATTCGACCTTTCGTACCTTAGGCCTTTTTTCGTTCGACGTTTCGTCGATTCGACCTTTTTATTTTGTCCCTCTTTGAATCTTTTGACCATTTCTAGATAGAGCTAGCCATTAGCCATAGATCTAGCCATTTCTAGAGCTGAAGTTAGGCCGTAACAGCTTTTGTAAACAATGACTTCTCTAGACCAATATAATCTTCGGGTAGGGGAAGTCTTCTCCTACCCGATAGTGATGTTGATTTGCGTTGGCGAGCCATGAATTTTTAGAAATAATCGAAATAAGTCATTGTTTACAAAAGCTGTTACGCCCAAATTCCAGCTCTATCTAGATTTTTCCTTTTGACCTATTGTTCCCCTTTTCATCATTCGACCTTTTGTACCGCTTCCCATCATTCGACCTTTTGTCCATTCGACCTTTTGTTCCCCTTCTCAGCATAAATCGTCAGTTTCGTATTGATTGTTTGGTAGTACTGTGTGAATGGGTAAATACTTTGGAACGTTTACAAATCTAGCGCAACGTGTGAAAGGGGCGTATGTTCCAGGTGAAAAAGTGGTAGCATCTTTTCGTCGTCGAACTGGACGAGATCCGGGTCGTTTGCAGTCATTTATGAACCAAGTGAGTGCAGAGGTTGTGCAGTTTCAATTAAAAATGTATGAAGCCCCCCATTGGACATCGATTATGGCTGGATTTGGTGACATGCTTATAAATTTGTTATCACTGATCATGATTTTTACGCGTAGTGTGTAGTTTGGTTGTTGCGATAAGGTGCGTATATTGAGTTTGGAATTTCGGAAAGTGTGTATGCTTGATCCAGTTTGAAAAACATTGTTAACTGCTGCCGGAGACGTCACAATAGCCTTTTGTTAATTTGTTGTGATGTAATGGGCCACGGTGGCCTTAGAGCGACCGTTTTTGATTACTGAGCAGAAGATCGTGGGTTAGAACCCTAGCCCCTTTACATTACTTAGTTGATAGGGTCGCGTCATTTGCTTACCAGGCTTTAAATGATCGCATCACTTTCCAATGTCAATCCAGATCTAATTCACCCTTCTAGTAACAACGGGTGTCGATATAATAATCCTTTCCTTCCCCGATGACCGTAAGGACGTGGCCGACGCCGTTATTGACCTCAACAATAAGGATTCACCGGATTTTGCACATTGAGAATGGATTGCTAATGCCAAGCCCCAGTCGTCAATGCTCATGCTTATGCTCGCGCGTCAGAACCAGGACGTTTCTGAACTTTGATTTTTTGTTTGGCTTCTTCAAAGTTTTCCAAGATTATATGGCATTAAATTTTTACAAAAATAACTTCATTTATATGAAGTTTTTTTTCAGTTGATTTTCTTTGAATTTTTACAAAGTTCCGTGAACTTTTACGGAATCCCTTAAACTATTTCAAATCCATCATTTTTGTAAGAAGTGCCCTGATATTACGAGAAGGTCCTCGATCGGTTTTCTATAATACAAAAAAAAAAACCCCAGCCTTCTGATTTTTTTCAATGTTACCTGAATTTCTACGAAACATTCTGAAGGTCTACTAAGCTCTCAGAATTTCTACGGAGATTCCTAATTTTCTACAAAGCTTTCTGAATTTCTACGAAGTTCCCTAAAGTACGAGATAAATCTCTGAACTACATCGAAATTCTCTGAATTTCTACAAAATTATCCAAACTTCTCTAAAGATCGCCAAATTTCAAACTTGTCTGAAGATCGCTAAACTTCGATGAAGTTTATCAAAATTCGTCAGTCTTTACCAGTGCTGTTAATTTTGATATCATTCGATTGAAGATGAACCAATACAACCATTGAATCAATTTGAAGAGCCCCTTCTCATCCGAACCGCATCATCACTGTCAATCGAGTCACTCACTATCATTTGATATACGACAGTGGAGTATGGAAAAAAAACCCAGCAAAATGGTCCCGAACAGACATGTCGACCCGATGTCGGATCAATGTTAGGAAAATTTAAGGTCGATGTCGACCCAATGTCGTGTTGTTGTCGGTTCAATTGTGGGTTTATGTCGGGTCGGGTTGGGGTTTGGTAGAAGTCAGGTTGGTGTCGGGTTGGCTTAGCTTTTTCGCCGGAATGTCGACCAGAGCTCCGTTTATGTGTAGGTTACACTCAAGTGAATGATATCAAGCGTTTCTTAAATGAGAATGATCCATGCCTTCGTCAAATGACTAAGCAACTGATATCACCCCTTCGAAGGAGGTCCCCTTTGATAGCGGATAGCTACTTTTCTCATTTCCATCAAAAATGTTCAATTTATTTTGAGAATTTACAGCACTGGTCTTTAACAAAATTCGCTGAAGTTCAACGATTTTTGTTAAGCTTTTACAAAGTTAGATGAACTTCTTCAAAACTGGTTTAACTTCTTGAAAATTTCCTGAACTTTTATGAGGTTTCTTAAAGATCTACGACGTTTCTTGGAGATCTACGATGTTTCTTGAAGTTTCTCAACGTTCTCTAACCTGTTACGAAGTTCTCCGAATTTCTATGAAGTTCCCTGATGACGTTCCCGTAACGTCTCTTCGGTTGTGTAATTCAGTATTATCAAAAAATATTGAGCAGAATCCTGCCCTTTCCCCGATAGAAAATTAGAAAACTAATTGTGACTACAGCCCTAGCAGCACACTTGCCACAAATCGGTTGAGCCAACTTCTATATCACTATTTTAGGTCCCAATCAACTTGCTTGGGAGGTGATGACATTTCATCCATCTTGTTGACTGGCCGTAAGACCAGAAGGTCCCGAAGAAGCGTGCTCAACTTTTTGGCTCAGCTCTGGTACTCTCTTCGGTTCCAAGCTAATCGATGCACCCCTCGAAACCTAGGAAAATCCATGAACCCCTCATTTTATCTGTCAAACTTTCATAGCGAATCAAAAGAAACATTGTGTAGTACTAGAATTTCGACTAGAATGGACGTTGATCGATTGGAACCAATAGGCTAGTCAAGTAGTGAGCCAATTAAAAATCGTTAGTATCCACCGGTTGGAACTACCGTTGTATCATAGACTAACACCAACCGGTGGAAACTAACGATTTTAAATTGGCTCATTACTTGACTAGCCTATTGGTCCCAAGCAAATCGATTCGTACCCCATTCTAGTCAAAATTCTAGTACTAAACAATGTTTGTTTTGATTCGCTATGAAAGTTTGACAGATAAAATGAGGGGTTAGTGGATTTTCCTATGTTTCGAGGGGTGCATCGATCAGCTTGGGACCGAAGATAGTACCAGAGCTGAGCCAAAAAGTTGAGCCCGTTTCTTCGGGACCTACTAGTCCTAGAGTTACCTCTATGCTAACACTAAGGCCAGGGGGCCACGAAGAAACAGCCTCAATATTTTGACTCAGGAAGTACCAGATCTTCGGTCCCAAGCTGTTTGAAGCATCACTCGAAACGTAGGAAAATCCACGAACCCGTCATTAAACTCCAAATTTATAGGGCGAATCAAAACAAACACAAAGTTTAGTACTAGAATGGGATACGCTTATAGATGTACTCGGGACCAATGGGCTAGTCGAGTAAAGAGTCAATTTAAAATCGTTAGTTTCGCAATGATTGTTGATTGTATTGCTTTAAGCTAGTAGAAAAATAATGTACTTTTTGAGGTACTAGATTAAAGAGTACAATCATAGAGGTAATTCTAAGACCAGAAGATTTCGAAGAAACGTGCTCAACTTTTTGGCTCAGCTCTGGTACTATCTTCGGTCCCAAGCTGATCGATGCACCCCTCGAAACATAGGAAAATCGATGAACTCCTAATTTTATCTGTCAAACTTTCATAGCGAATCTAAACAAACATAGTGTAGTACTAGAATTTCGACTAGAATGGGGTACGTTAATGGATTTGCTTGGGACCAATAGGCTTGTCAAGTAGTGAGCCATTTTGAAATCGTTAGTTTGCACCGGTTGGTACTGCTTTGTATGTCTATCAACTTTCTTAGGTCCACTAATCTAGTACTTCCTGAACCAAAATGTTCAACGGAATTTCTGCAAGACAGAAATGTCTCCTATATGATAGTAATACTTATATACCAAGATCATCGATTTACTAAAATTGGTACTCCCTTTTCTCCCACCTGCAGTTCCCCGAGCTGAACCCGATGATCCTGCGCCGCTTCCGGGAGCCCGGCGACGTCGAGCGGGCATACGAGCTGGTTCATCAGTCACAGGGACTGGAGCAAACGCGCTTCCTCGCACGCAAGCACTGCATCGAGGCGCTCCGGCTAGCGTCCCAAATCAGCGAATCGCCGTATCAAAAGGGTTTGATAGTGGTCGGTGACTTCGTGCTGAACCGAATGAAATAGTAGTAGTAACGCGGCATAGCAGGCGTGCAGCAGTAGTAGTAGTAGTTGTAGTAGTAGCGTAAGAACAGTGTGTAATAGTAGGCGTAGGCGTTATTCTAGGTCGCGGGGGAAGGGGGTTCAAGAGTACGAGAGACAGACAGATAGAGAGAGAGAGAAAGAGTTTGGGGACATGTTTGCGTTTTCGTTTGTCCGAATGTGTGTGTGAATGTATTGGATTGTGTGCGTGAGCGCGCTTTGCAGCGACCTTTACTTCCAATAGAAAGTAAAACTATTTTTCAAGCAGTACACACAGTTGATTTGAATTGTTTTCGATTTCTATCGGGTGTTTTGGGTGCGTGCGATTTTTAGTTTTTGCGAATGCTTGGGAACAATGGAATATTCTATATTAGTTACAAGAAAGGAAAAAAAAAATAAAACAAGCGTATGCGCGCGTGGAACCAGTGCGGGTTTTTTTAGAAATCTAATTATAAACTTTTTTTCTGTAAAAAAAAAAAGCTCGAGATATGTAGTAGGAAGTCAGTTAAGTTTATTTAGCAGAAGAGAAGTAATCCGTTTATTAATCAAAGTTAGTAGATTGTAGGTTATGTTCAGTTTAAGCTCACCCAAGCTGGAACGAAGCTTTACATTGGGGCCATTTCGGGACAGTTGAAAGGCATGGCAAGCTTCGTTCCGCTCCAGGGTGACGAGTAACAATCTATCCTCTCCATCTGTAGTCTTTTATCGGGTTGGCTGAGCTGGAAGTGTACGAAGTGCAATGATAAACCCTTTTGATTCATGTCTGTACTATAATATATGTAGTTATTTTTTTAGTTTTTTTTTTTGATTTTTGCTGTGTTTGTGTGAATGAGTGATACCGTACCGGGGGTTAGAAGATTTCAGCGTCGTTTGCAGTGAACCATATAGTCAATTTCTGTCATCCGGTTCCTAAAGTTACAGTTTTCCATTTCCCTAAGCATCGTATTTTTTACATAGTGACCGTAGATTTCCAGTGTAGAACATACACACAAACCAAGCATTAGTGTCCGTCATCCCACGTTGATTTGTAAGCAATTGACAGCGCCGTCAAATGTTAGCACAAATCGTAGCTAGCTCTGATTTCAGGTGTTTTTGTTTCGCTTCGAGTGGCCGGAATGGTTGAGAAAATTTGCGCAGAAAAGACATGCATGGTATCGTCATCGTAGTAAGCACTGCCATTTTTTTTTTAAACTATGTTTAGATAGGGAAAAAAATGATCGTGGAATTTGGGCGCGCGTGCGAGATCCGGTGTTTCAAAAGTTCTTTTTATTCGATGGTAAAAAAATTTATTTTGATTGTTTGCGTGACGAGCGAGAGAGAGAGATAGCGTGAGATGGATGGGAAACAACACAATACAATTGTTATATTTACAACAGGAGCCTTAGTAGATTACAAGACATGAAAAGAAAATGTAAATAAATAATGAAAAAGCGTAGATAAGTTAACGAAAAAAAAAAAACAGCAGATAATGCGAATGTGTATGTGTTTAGCGTGTGTTAGCTCGTAAGTGTCAACTGTAGTAGGCCAATAAGTGACCACTAGCTGCTCAATTATTGTTTAAAACAACGCAAGTACCAGATCCAATTCTTTTTTTTTTAATTATTATTATTTGATACTAAACCACGTCAGTTAATTTGATAAAATCAAAGAAACGAAAGTAACACGCAACACACCCCACTCTGTACATAGTTAGGTCTAATTTAACTTTTAAGAGAACGTCGTGGAAGGGACGTCTAGCATAACTAAAACACTATTTTACACAAACACACACACACACACTTGTATGCACTTGTTATTTTTGCGATTATTCTATCATTTATCTTTGTTCTTTTTTTAATCTCTCCTTTTTAAAAAAACGAAATGGTAACTTAACCTCATCTAAAAGCAAGACAAATCAAACCTGTGTGGCTGGAGTTCTTCGCTATCCTTACCCTAATTTCCTAATTTTACTCCATTCCCGTCTTATTTTGTGTTTTGTTTTCAAAGTATCTAAAAAACAATAAATTAACAATCTAAAAAAGCAGCTGTCGAGCAAAGCGCCAAAAATCGAGTTTTAAAGTATGAAAATTGGTCACCTTACCAAGTTACCAAGGACCACACCATCAGCACCACCACCACTACCGCCGCCACCAGCACACTGTACAGCGACGAACCAGTAGAGATGAGACTCGACTGCTTTTTAAAGTGGGAAAATAAATTACACGAACAATACGCGACAAGAAACCGAAGCTTGGAAGCATGGCTGAGATGATTTCGAACCAGAAGAAGAAAAAATAAGTAAAATGGCAGCGTTAGGAAATTTGTGTTCAACAGGGGTTGTAGGTTTAAAAAACTCAGAAAAAAAATCAAAACAATAGAAACGCCCAAGCAAAAACTGATTGTGAGCGATGGGGGTGAAGAATTCTATCGAAAGGAAAGCAAAAGAGCAAATAGTTAAATGTCGTCGGCCTTCTGGACCCCGGGTACTGGGATGCGTATTTTGAAGCGGCGGGAACTACAAGCTTCCAATCCGGGCACGCGGAAGGCGACGGCAAAACACAGATGTATATTATCGTTGCTATATTTTACACAATCTTTACAACACAAGGATGTTTTTGATATGTAATGAGTAAAAATGAAAAGAAATAAATGAGACTAATCATCTATCAGCAGTCCGGGACGAAGGGGGTTGAATGCTTCGAAAATTCCATCCGCTGTTGCTACCACCACAATGGGAAATTTATTGCTTTGTTTTGTAACGCAAGCAATCGCTTGATCCATTTTCCTGCGGCGCAGTATCTCATACGTGAACCTTCTAACAAATTCATTAATATGTCAATATCAGGCAATCGGGGAAATTGTCAATTCATTTCGACTTTTTGCAAAGTTACAAATTCAACAAGATTTGCTTTGAAAAGTGACAAACTTGTTCTTTTTCCGTTCCGCGTATAAAGGAAATTAAGTAGTTCTTATGAGAAGCAATTTTCGCGTCACGACCTCTAAACGCAACCATCAACAACAACCACGAATTTCCATCAGCAGCAGGGGGAGGGGGACTTTGTTTTAATCCATTACCGTTGAGAAATGTAGATGGTACATGAAACTGTCAGCATATTAAGTGCTGTACATATGTATAATAATATATCATTCGTTGCTAGTACCTTAACCTGGTCAGACCAAGGGGTAATGAACTCTGCACACTGTGCCGAAACGAAACACATCGTAGCACACTAATTGACACGATGACAAGTATGACACAGAATATGATATAAAACGGCATCACTGCTTTGCGTTGGAATTTTGCCAAGCGTTGCTAAGGTTTACTACAGGGTGCGTGACGAATTTTTGCAGTAAATTTCAAATAGTAATTTCTCATGCTTGTGCATCATGATTTAGATATATTTGGCAGCACTGGATAGCTTATACTGTTAGGTGTAAGATTTTAACAAAAAATGTTGAGTAAACGTAAAGATGTCGAAACAATAGAGCAATCTGTCAGCCGTTGTCGCTTTGTTGCGCGCCGGAGTATGCATGAAAGAAATAATTCGGTCGGTAAATGTGTCTGAAAGAACAGTGTATAATATTAAAGAAGGCTTGGGAAAGTGATAAGACCACCTGCTTATACTGCTAATAAAGCACAGAAATAGCTTACGGAAAATATTTCGTAAATTTGGGAGGAAGAAATTTGGCCCCCAAGCAGTCCCGATATCAATCCGTTGGATTGTTTTGTATAGGGCGTCGTCCAACGGGATACCAATAGAACCCCTCACACCACACTTAAGTCGCTAAAAGCTAAAATCAAGGCAGTGATGACATCTATGGATCGAAACATTTTACGGACGAGCTCCGTTGCTACACGATCCTTCCATCTTCGGCGGTAGGCCGACTTCGCACAACGAACGTCAATCATTAGTCAACCAACTCTTCTGGGAGCCGGCGGAGGAAACGGATTTGCACCTAATTTTTCACCGCCCGAGTATCATCCGTCGGAAAACTGGAAACCAACACCGGCCGGAACACACGTCGGACTGATGAAGGACGCACCGCTGACCCGAAACGGACCAGCCAATTTTCCAAGCAGAACTACTTGTCAGAGTCCACCAACCCGTACAACCTGCCAGACAATTCGATCAGCGCCTCCAAGAACAATCGCTTCCCAGACCAGCACTTCAATACCTCACCCGTATGCCGTCCGAGAATCTGCTGCTGTCTGCATTCACCACCAAGGACTGCCACCCGTCGCAAGTGCGAATGTTCACGTTGAAATCGGAAAGTTCCTCCTCCGGATTGGTCGAGTTCCCGAGCGTAGCCCTGGCGGTGAATCATGAAGTGCAACCACAGCGCGATCGATCACAAATGCACAAAACTCCCGTTCATTATGAAGCTGTTAGTTGGAAGTGCAAAAAGGCAGGAGAGTAAAAATAATTGGTTGAACTTTTTGAGATTTTGCCAAGACGGTCCTCCAACATTATATGCAGGACGATGGAATGGTTGGTGAAGCAGCCACCGCCATGGATGTATTCGAGCAGTTCGAATGGTATAGTTTTTGTTTGGTTGTTGACTTTCCGATCAAAACTCAAGCACCGCTTGTCGTGACCGGCCCAAGATTTCCAACGTCGGCCACGTCTACACGAATTAGCGATGCAGCTCCCACTGTTGCGGCTGCTTCCAATGCTGTTGCTGCTGTTCCGTCTCCTCTAAAATTCATAAAAAAAGACGAACCAGCAGCAGCATTGGAAGCAGCTGCAGCCGTGGGAGCTGCATCGCTAGTTCATATAGCCATGGCCGGAAATCTCGGTCAGGTCAAGATACCGCTGTTAGCTGTTCTTCGTCTGGGAGGAAATCCCCCTTATTCTGCGAGTCACGTGACTCTCTCTCACCGGTGAGGTGACAATTGTCACCTCGTGTGAGGTGACTCTCCATGCAAATCAAATGGAGAGTCACCTCACACGAAATCACGTGACTCGCAGAATAGGGGGGAATGTGAATGCGACTGCCGTCACGGGTGTAACGATTTTGAGAATCCATGGCGAGACTTGGTGGAGATTCACGGTTGTTTTGAAAATAATTTGACTAGGAGTGGCAACGTCAATAACAAATTTTGACACATGCACACTGCGCAGGCGCAGAAAAAGTTCAGTGTTGCCAGTAACTTTGAAGATCATAAAAATTGTAACCATGGGTGCCAAACACCGTCAATGACTGCACCCCGATGTGCCCCTGTTTGATTTTGGCACACTGTGTAGAGTGACCAACCCCTTGTTTGGGATAAACACAAACAAATTAGTCAGAGTCACCATGCCGCGCAGAATAGACCTGCTTACGTATTATCCCCAGATGGCCATACGATCCGGAAACGAAAGCAAATTGTAAAGGTAAGGAGATTTGCATAATCCAGTTCCAATTGTCAACAAGAACCCGGCTCAGAACGATGCTGCCATTCTGCAGATGCATCTGCTACCGTAGCAGTTTCTCCCGGAGAACCACTCTCTACGATTGATGATCCACCAATTCTATGGACTGAACGATTTCGGAGATTCGATTGACTCTGGAGGCTGGTGGATTTATTAGCGTATTAGCAACATTAAGAAGGATGCTGCTAACACGATTGTAAAGGTAACCAAATCGGAGGTAACGAAGCCAATCAGGGTTATTCTGCGTGGCGAATGAGGTGAGGTGACTCGAGTCACTCGTGTCACCCGATTCCAGCTGGCGAGTGAGGTGAGAAAAGTCACTTGGGATGAACCCGATGAACTCTCACCTTATTCTCACAGTCGTTTTTCGGTGACAAAAGTCGTACTGAAGTGACGATAATTTCTTAGGCTTTCTCAATATGGGTATTTTTGGAATCGGAGTGACGTGTAGGGATCGGAAACCCATGTCTGAGACTATTTTGAAATTCAACATGGCGGCTTCCGGTTGGAGAAAAATTCTGCCAAATACCCCACAAAACTGGTATTTTTTGGAGTTGGGATGACGTGTAGGGACCGGAGATCGATGTCTGAGGTCAATTTGAAATTCAAGATGGTCAGGGCTATTCTGCGCGGCGTGTGAGGTGAAGTGACAGTGAAGTGATGGTGAAGTGACAATTGTCACCAAGGGTGAGGAGACTCTTCATTTGATTTGCACGGAGAGTCACCTCACCCGAGGTGACAATTGTCACTTCACAAGTGAGAGCGTGTCACCTCACCTCACACGCCGCGCAGAATAGGCCTGGGTGGCTTCCGGTTGGAGAAAAACTTGAAAATTCTGTCAAATACCCCTCAATACGGGTATTTTTAGAATTGGGGTGACGCGTAGGGACCGGAAAACCATGTCTGACGCCATTTTGAATTCAATATGGCTGCCTTGGGTTAGAGGAAAAATTTGAAATTCTGCCAAAAAGCCCTCAATATGGGTATTTTTAAAATCGGGATGACATGTAGGGCCCTGAAACCCATGTATGACACCATTTTAAATTCAATATGGTGGCTTCTGGCTAGAGAAAAACTGGAAAATACTGCCAAATTACCCACAATATTAGTATTTTTGGAATCAAGGCGACGTGTTGTATCGGAAACCGATGTCTGAAGCGTTTTTAAAATTCAAGATGGCGGCTTCCGATTAAAGAAAAACTTTGAAATCCTGTCAAATATCCCTCAATATGGGTATTTTTGGAGTCGTGTTGACGTGTACGAACCGAAAACCCCTGTCTGACGTCTCTCTGAAATTCAATATGGCGGCTTCCGGTTAGAGAAAAACTGGGAAATGCTGTGAAATTACCCATAATAATGGTTTTTTTGGAGTCTTGGTAACGTGTAGGGTCCAGAAATCGATGTCTGAGGCCGTTTTGAAATTCAAGATGGTGGCTTCCGGTTGGAGAAAAACTTGAAAATTTTGTCAAATATCCCTCAATATGGGTATTTTTAGAATTGGGGTGACGTATAGGGTCCGGAAATAGATGTCTGACGCCATTTTGAATTCAAGATGGCGGCTTCCGGTGGGAGAAAAACTGGAAATTATTGCCAAATTACCCACAGTATGAGTATTTTTGGAATCTTGGTGACGTGTAGGGTTCAGAAATCAATGTCTGAGGCCATTTTGAAATTCAAGATGGTGGCTTCCGGTTGGAGAAAAACATGAAAATTCTGTCAAATATCCCTCAATATGGGTAGTTTTTTGAATTGGGGTGACGTGTAGTGACCGGAAACCCATGTCTGACGCTATTTTGAATTCAAGATGGTGGCTTCCGGCTAGTGAAAAACTTAGAAATTTTGCCAAATACCCCGTAAAACTGGTAAAGGGTGTCCACGATGAAATTGCCACACTATGAAATTGCTCTAACTTTTTAACCGTTGGGTAGAATTGAATGAAAATTTGGGTGGATTTAGTTCATAGTGCATTATTTACATCCTGCAAGTTTTAAAGTCCTGTGATCAAAACTCGCGGAAATGGAGTCGAAAGAACAGCTCGTGCGTGATAAAATCTTGCGCATTCATCACGAGAACAAGGATCTCTCGCATCGTTCCATCGCTAAAACGTTGGGAATCGCGAATTCCACGGTGTCGCGAGTGATTAAGCGGTTCGAGGAACGGTTGATCACCGATCGGAAGCCCAGAAGTGAAGGAAAAAGTATTCCGTACAACACCAACAGGCCTATTCTGCGCGGCGTGTGAGGTGAGGTG